GATCTGTGTTCACATGTTCTACTGATGACTGAGCAGTGGCACAGCTCTCTGGCAGTGTCAGAATAGGCAAGAGTAGAAGGGTCTGAATGTTTCAGATGCGTTTACCAGTTGTCAGGCTGACACACAGACAGCTTGAGACGTGTCTTAGATGCACGTTCTCACAGATGGCAGGGAGGTGGTCTTCACAGACTGAGGTTTCTGTTCTGAGAAGGTGATATTTTGTCTCACTGCACCAACCCAGAGGTGGAAAATCAACCCTGGGTAATCCTTCCTATGTTGGTGACTGGCTGTGACCTTGGAGAGAGTCTTTTAATGGCTGAACCTTTTGGGTTTTGTTACCTATAATGTTGAAGCATCGGGCTGGGTACTGAGCAGTAAACCTTGCAGCAGTCCAAAAGCAGAAGCCTGGTGGCATTAAGAGTTTTTCCCATTTGGTCACATGCTTCTGCAATAGAGAAGTTCCTTTGATTCAGGATTAGACTTAAACACATCTGGGTCATAGTGGTCAGGGTTTGTACCTTAAATCTTCTCTTCTTGTTGCCCCAGGGAACCAAGCAGACTTGTTGGAGGTGGATTGTGCAGGGAATCTTTGGTGGATCAGTCACTTTTCCATAACTTCATCAAACTGGAATCTAAAAGGGTGGGGAAAGATGATGGTGATGTGAGTGATGAGGGTTGCAGAGAGTGAAAAAGGAGAAAATGAGCATCTGAGGGCAGCCTGATTTCTGTAGGTCCGGAGCAGAAGGGCGGGTGAGCTGACCTCTGTGGCTCCTTTCAGCTCTGACTAACTTCCTGTGTGCTGTTAGGAGCAGCTTTGCTGTTTGCTCATGGTGTCAGATTCACGTCCCTCGATTCCCTCTGCTGGGAAAATCTTTTCACAGCACCCTTATGATACTTACCAATGCTTTTTTTTTCTTCTTCTCAGGAACACCGAGAATGAAACTAGCTCCTCTGCATCAACCAGTGAGCAGAACAGGCATCCTTTTGAGGCAAGTCCTCTCTCTCTCTCTTCAAAGGTTTTCTTTCTTGCTGTTGAATCAACGTCTTTCCATTAGTTGTTTAAATGTTCCCTAGATTTTGACTAAGCATGGGGGAGGAAGTATTAATGGCTCCTGAAATCTTTGCACATCATATTTTTGATAGGACCATCACCTGTAGCTTGTTGTTGTTGAGAGGGGGGCTGAGCTGGGATTTGGAGAGCTGGCTGGGTGTGTTGCTGTGCAGAAACACGCAGCAGCTACAGAGAAACCAGGGAAATCTGAGTTTCTGTTGCTCCCTCAGCTACTTCTAAGCATGCACTGAGCTCCTGTATCAACCAAGGGCTCTACAGACAAATCATTTTTGGGAGGCTGGGGCAAGACCGCATAGTTGATCTATTTCTCTTCTCATCACGATCTGCTCTCCAATTCTCTCCCTTCCAGAACGTGGATCAGCACTTGTTCACTTTGCCTCAGGGCTACGGCCAGTTTGCCTTTGGGATTTTCGACGATGGCTTTGAGATTCCATTTGGGTCCAATGTGCAGTCAGAAGATAACAGAGACTCTGAGAACAGGAGGGAAAGAGAGCATCAGTCCAGGCACCGGTACGGCGCGAGGCAGCCGCGCGCTCGTCTCGCCACGCGGCGTGCTGCTGGCAGGCACGAGGGGGTTCCCACACTGGAGGGGTAAGAACAGCCCTTGGGGTTCTTGTGCAGAAAACCTGGGTTGGTTTTTTCACTGCTGAGTTCACCACAAATCATCCTTTTGTCTCTTCTTCTTCTGTTGAAGTGTAAAGCTGCTCGTAGCTGTGAGCGCCCTGCTCGCGTGCCCGGCTCTGTCCTCTGTGAGCTCGTGCTTTGGATGGTCAGGCTTCTGCTCAGCTCTCACCTCGACTTTTAGGGGCTTTTCTAACTGAGCACAGCAGCCTAAGCTGCAGTGAGGCTGGGAGGTTTGACCCTTCAGCACACACTGAGAAAGCATTTCCTGGTCATCTCTGGGTATTGTGAAAACGTCTTATTCGTGAGAGGAAAAACAAGAGGAGACTCTAGAGAACAAGACTGCAGCTTCTTTAAAAGTATCCTGGGAAAACTTTTGCTGTCTCTGTCAGAAATCATTCCATCTGGATAAAGCATTCGGTTTTCTCTTTGTCAATGAATAACCAGTTTATTATTTTCCTCTCATTCTCTCTGGTGAGGTGACAGCATTTAGCCACTCCTTCCGTGTCAGGCTTCTGAACCAGGAGCTAGCAGATACAGATTCTTGTTTAATCCTGGTTTTCTTGTCTTTCAGAATCATTCAGCAGCTGGTCAATGGTATTATTGCACCTACAACAATACCAAACTTAGGACTTGGTCCTTGGTGAGTTGAAGCTCAACTGTTCTTCCTGAGGTTGCTCATACTTGTGCCTGAATTTAATTCTTGTTCTTATTCTTAAAGGGGAGTCTTGCATTCAAATCCAATGGACTATGCCTGGGGTGCTAACGGCCTGGATGCAATTATTACACAGGTAAAATTAGCACTATAATGGAGCCTCAGGTCCTCTTGGGTACGGCTTGCTAAATTGTCAGCACCCATTGTGCTGCAGCAGGAACAAACCACTGAAGGTGTAGAAATGGGAGATGAGGTCCACAGCGCAGGGGATGCTGGATTCAAGTGCCCTAATTTGGTAAATGAACAGATTCTGTGTGCTGCTGAGCTCACATCTTTCTGCCTTCTGTGCCCTATTGTTTTTTCAGTTACTAAATCAGTTTGAAAACACTGGACCACCGCCAGCAGACAAAGAAAAGATCCAGGCCCTCCCCACGGTACAGATCACACAGGAACACGTAGGTGTGTATTATCTCCTCCAGTTCACAAAGAGGTCTGTGAAAATTCTGTTTCAACGCTTTTCATTTGGTCTGCTGGTACCTTCCAGGCCTAAAACATCTCAAAAGTGGGGAGAAAGCTGAATTACTGAGCTCTGCTATACTCTTGCAATGGAAAGGGCAGAGTAGACTGGTTGAATTTGCCCTGGGGAGGCAAACTGTCTGTTCCAAAGAATTCAGTGTGAATAGAGTTGAAAAAGCACATGCATGCTGATGGGCAGGGCTGCAGCTCTGTGCTGGGATGTGCTGACAGCTCAGCCAGGCTGTACTGTAAGCTGGGTGAGAGTTTGTTGGTTGGAGAGATGCAAATCAAACACTGGATGCTTTGTTACAGGTATGTGTGCATGCATCTGTTCACTGAATGTGTTTTGTGCTGTGAGGAAGGGAACAGTGATGCAGGACAGTGGAAAGGGGGGAGTGATGGTGGCAGGGCAAAGCAGCAAGCTTTCCACTTGCAGAGATGAAGCAGGGAAGGGGACAGAAGCCACGAGAGCTGCTGGGAAGGGGAAAAAAAAGGGAGAAGGTGATGGGATCTCCTTCTGAGGGCGATCAGGTCCTTTGTTTTCTGCTTTATTCTTCAGCTGTGTTTTGCTTTCCGTTTGCAATACAGATTCTGGGTTAGAGTGCCCTGTGTGTAAAGAAGATTATACAGTTGGGGAGAACGTCCGACAGTTACCTTGCAATCACCTATTCCACAACAGCTGTATAGTCCCTTGGCTGGAGCAGGTTGGTGCCTTCTGTGTGGGTCTCTTGGGTTCTGTAGCACTGAAATGTTTTCTGGCTGTACCGTTCTGCTCTGTAAATGCTTTTTTTACACCCTCATGATGAAGCCTGAGCACGAACAGCAGTGTAATCTTAGCCTTTTCCTTCAGAATTGCTCCTGTGTTGTTTATAATCCAGTTTTCCTTATTTCTTGTGTGTTGTTTTTTGTCTGCTCTCCATAGCATGACACATGTCCTGTGTGCCGGAAGAGCCTAAGTGGACAAAACACTGCTACAAACCCCCCTGGACTCACAGGGATGAACTTCTCATCCTCCTCCTCCTCCTCTTCTTCCAGCTCACCAAGTAACGAAAACTCATCGAACAACTCATGAATCTTAATCCAACCCTCTGTCCCTGGGGCCCTCTCCATTGTCCTTCTTCCCTCCCCAGCCAACATAAGCAGCAAAAGGGGCTTCCAGAGCAGAGCAAGGGGAGGGTAGCAAGGGGGAAGCAGCACCCCCAGAATTCCCTTTTGAGTTCTGAAGACACGGAGACTCTGGATCCTTCAGAGATGAGAAGCCTCAAGTTCTGTCATGGGGAAAGAGCTCTGTCTGTTAATAAAATTCATCCCTTTTGCCACGTGGACTTTTAACAATTGCAGTGAAAGGCTGCAGTGCTCCACAGATGGGAAACCTAAGGCACTGAGCTGGTGGTTGCAATTCTGAATGGAAAGGTTGTTGATAAGGTTTTGAATTTGAGATTCCTTTTTTTATTGCTTTTCCTCCTCCTCCTCCCCTTAGATGCTATCTCTTCTGCTTTGGAGATTGAAATCTGAAAAATGAAAGCATAATGATACTGCCTCCCTCCCAGGATCTTCATCTGGGGAGGGCAAATAGTTGTCACTGAGCAAATGAACTCTTGAAACAGACCCCATCATCCTCCCCTTCCTCACCCCTCATCTCGAGTCCCATTTATTTTTGTTTCTTTACAACCTCGCCCTTCTGATACTCAACACTGAAAGGGGGTTTTTATAATTTTAAATTATTACTGCTGTTTAAATAAATGGACGTTTCAGCTCAACGGGACGTTCTGCATGATTTGAGGAAAACTACAAGGTTCAGGTCTCCAGAGACTGCTGTGCTGAGCAGCCTGGTTTCAACCCAAGGGCAGGCTGGGCTTGTCCAAGCCCTCCTGGCATGCTGAGTGCAGGTATGCTGGGAGCTCCAGGCTTCAACGTGGCCAACACCCCTCCATGCATTGCAGGCCTGTGGGTTATTGAGGGGCTGGCTGCAGGATTGCAACTAAAAAGCATACTTGCCTGCTCCTTTTTGTATTTTTTACATCTCCCCGTTGCAGTTCTGAACAGATTTTTCCACTGTTAACATCAGGACTGGGCGTGCATCAGTGCAAGGAGCAGCCCCATCTCATTGTGATCAAATAATAGACAGGAAAAACAAAGAGTTTGGAGAGAGGGGGGAAAAAAAAAAAGAATAAAATGTATTTCAAAGTTACTTAAAATACAGCTGATTAAAAAGAAAAAAAAAAAAAAAAGGAGAGAGAGACGAAATACCTGGGTGTGTTTGACAGTTTGTGCATTGGAGAATGAGAAGAATGTGAGTGGAGGTGGCAGTGACCTACCTGGGCGGAGGTGGGGACACAAAGCAGGCTCCTGGCTGTGTGTCACCCTGCAGTGCTGGCAGGAGAGAGGAAGCAGTGAGCAGCACTGGGCTGCTTGAGGTGCGAGCTGCTGCCTCTTCTGCTGCAGGGATCTGAGGCAGGCAGTGGATCTCCCTGGTGCTGGTGGAGGTGTTGTGCACACCGTGCATCAGGTGATGATGTGTGGGTCTTGTCCACAGCTGTGCTGTTCTGGGACAGATGCACATCCAGAGGACTGGGTCTCCTGGTGGCTGTGGGATGTTTCCTGGGGAGGCTGCAGCCTTCCTCACCTTGTAGGATTGCTCAGGTGAGGCAGCATCACAGACCACCTGTGGGAAGCAGCCCTGCAGTGAGAGTGGGATGCGTGCATGGGAGGCTTTGTACATCCACAGCTGGTCGTGTGCTCCTGGCAAATGCAAGGCAAAATGCATTGGGGTAAAGCTGATGGTGGTCTCTGATGCTCCTAGGGTTGCATCCTGGGCTGAGTGAATATCTGTGGTCTCTGAGGCCAGGAAGCAGCACAGGGGGCTCTGGGGTCTGACCTAAATGCAGTCCTGGACTTCCCCTCTCCTGCTGGCTCCAGATGGCACTGAGCACAGCGAGAGCTGAGGCAGCTTTGCCAAGGGCAGCCCAGCCAGCTGCAGGCAGCTCCCCCTGCCCCGTGCTGCAGTCTGCTGGTGACCCAGCTGTCCCAACGCCTACCTGAAGCTCTTGCACTTGTTTGTCTCTTTGATGACTCAAAAGCAGAAGCTCAGATGTGGCTGATGGAAGCGCAGCGGGGAAAAGGCTGGGGCTGAGACATGGAGGAGCTGCTGACCCTGCAGGGACAGCTGGACTCTGCCCTGCTGGTGTCACAGAATGGGCACACGGTGGCAGAACCACAGAGCAAATCAATGAGGATCCAGCACTGAGTGGAACTGCTCAGGTCCCGGAGCTTCCTAAGAAGGGCTGTACCTCCCTATGGGAGGGGGAAGGTGTTGTGTGACATTTCTTGAACCGTTTCAGAATAAAAGGGAAGGTTTGTTGGAGGAAACATCAGCTGCCATTTGCCAGAGCTGTCGGGGGCCGGCAGTGAGGAGGCACTGAGCCATTGCCCTGGAATGTTTCTGTCATTGGCTCTGCCAGCTCAACCAGGCTGCAGCTGCTTTGATCTCGCAGGCGGATGCCTCTGGGACAAGGGTTTATCTCAGGACTGGTAGATCAGGGTAAGAGCTCATCCTGTGCCAGAGGTCGAGCCAGGAGCTTCTGCTGCTGGAATCCCAGGCTCAGGAGCAGGTGGTGGCAGAGGGATCCCAGAGGCAGGAGGGAAGGGTCCCGATGCAGTTTGTGCCCACGTGTGAGATGCTCGAGTTGGGCTTCAAATGGGTGAAATGAGGCAGATGGGTGCTGCAGCTCCTGGGGTCGGAGTCTGGTGCCCACTGCAGTCCCCAGCATTTGCTGCAATGGTTGCTCCCTCCTGCCTGGGAGCTGGTTTGGTGAGAAATGGAACGAGTTTGGTGGTTGTGTGATGTGACACGGTGGCCACGCTGCGGTGCCTCTCAGTGAGGCTCAGCAGGCACTGCAGGAACGTGCTCTGGCTGGGAGGAACAAGCACTATTTCTGGCCACGGTGATGCTCTCGGAATCACCTCCCAGTACCCAGCTCCATCCCCGTCTGCTGAAAGGGAGCAGAGTGGGGCCACAGCCTCAGAACCACAGGGGATGCTCATCCGGGATGCAGCTGTGCCATTCCCTCATCTCACCTCGTGCACCTTCACCCCGCAGCAGCCTGACATCCAGGGCTCTCCCCTCCCACAGCCGTTTCCTCCCTTTCCATCCCTGAAACACCACTTGCTGCCTTTTCCTATGGTTAGATTTGGGGCTGAGCAATGTCCTTGCCCACACACTCAGGTGTGGGCTGGGAAGAGAAGGGAGGATGCCAAGGTCTGTATCTCCCAACCCAGGGCAGCACCTCGAGGCTGAAGGAGCCCACGAGCACCAGCATCGCACTGCCACAGCTTGCTGCCCCTTGCCACGAACACAGCTTTAATTTCCACGAGACACCAATCAAACACAGCCCCAGCATCTCCCAGCCCTGCAGCCACTCTCCCCTTGCAGAGATGCTGTCAGCAGGGCAGGAAGCCAGCACAGCATCAGCTCCATCCACGGTGGGTGCGTGCCTCAGGTTGGACACGTGCAGGGACACCGAGCAGAGCCCCAGCATGGCTCTGCACGCTGAGTCTGGACCTTTTGCCATCCACATCCATCCTCCACCACGCAGTTGAAAAACAAAGCAATAAATAGCAATATATAGATATGTACATATATAAAATAGCCTTTCCCCCCCCCCCCCCCCCATTTTTTCTTTTCCTACAGGACTGTCCAGGAGCCACACTGCAGGGCTCAGCTGACGAGCATAGGGAGGAAGTGGGTGGAGAGGTGCTGCCGGCGCGTCTTGCCCCCTCGCCGCGGCCTCCCTTTGCTATTGAGAGAGAGGAACATGGGGCGGCCCCGGTGCCGCCAGCGCAGCGAGGCGTAGGTGTTGTAGCCATTCTCCTCAATGCGTTCCGTGAACTTGCAGTTGGGGCTGAACTCCTTCTGGCAGAGGAGGGAAGGGGGTGAGCAGGGTGAGGGCTCCGCGGGTGCCGTCCCCTATGGGGAGTAGGGGGAGCAAGCATGGGTGCCGGCCCCGGTGGGTGCAGGATCTCCCCGCTCTGGCTCCGCCCCGCACCTCCAATGCCAGCCATGGGATGCGGAACCTGACCTACCGACCCGTAGAGCTGCCCCCGTTTGTTCATGGCCAGGTAGAAGCCGGTGTGCACCGCCCGGATGGCCACAACGCCGACACGCACAGACCGGATCTCGACGATGCCTGCGGGGCGGGGAAGCGCTGCTGTGAGATGGGCCACCTCCTGCAAGGACCCTTCCCCCGCTGCCCACAAGGTGTCACCACACAGGGACAGCACCGTCGACCCCAAAAAAGTGCCACCGCGGAACCTCACCCGGTGCAGGAGCTGGGGAGGTGGACGGATGGATGGATGGATGGATGCTGTCCCAATGGAGGGACGGTGGGGAGCAAGGGTTGTGTGTTCGAGGGAGAACCCCATCATCCAGGAGGGTTTGCCCTTTATTCCCATCCTCCCTTGTGCCCAGCTGCCCCTGGGAGCAGAGCTCTGCTGGAATGAAGCCAAGCTGCAGCTCCGCGTGCCTGGAACCAACTGTCAGCCTTTGCCCCCTGCTCACTTCATGGTTGTTCTCCCTGAATCAGCAGCTGATCCTCTGCCCAACACATGCTGTGAAGCCCCAGGGATCCAGCTCGGCTCTTAGACCGCTCATCCCATTGCTGGGGGTGCTGCCCGTGCTCACCAGTGCTGCTTGCCTGGCTGGGACCAGCATGGATATGGGGACCTGGGTGGGGACTGCAGGATGCAGCAGCCCTGGGCTTGGCCCCACAGCATGTGCTCGACTAAAGGTGCGTGTACCCAGCCCGTGGATCTCGGTCAGAGCCGTTAATGGGAAAGGCATGTGGTCAGACCAGGTGGATTTTAGCATGGAAACACCCAGAGCAATGCCAGGAACTCTCCGGATTCTTCCTCCCTCTCTTCCTCTGCACCAACCAGAGCTGTCAGCCTGACCCCATCCCTGTTGTACGTGGGGAGCCCCACAGAGGCTCTGGGTGGCTCACAGCACATAGAGTGCCACAGCCTCTCGGCAGACCTTCTGCAAGACTTCACCCACCCACCGCAGGCTGAGGCATCCACTGGGCCACTGTGATGCTGCTGGGAGAGGATGGGGCTGGACATGGCACAAGGACAAGCTGAGTGCTGTGCAGAGCTCAGTGCTGAGTGCTACAGGATGATACCGAGGGGGGATGTTCAGCCCAGCCACCAGCACACGTGTTGTGGTCCAGCATGTCCCAGCACAGCAAAGCCATTAACAGGCAAGTGGGGAGAGGCTGAGAAAATGCCTGCAAATCCATCTCAGTTTATCGCTGTCTGGAGCTGCTGCTATTTATATCAAAGGTCTTTTGCTTCTCTAAAAATAACCCCACTTTGCTATTCCCAGTGCTTAGTAGGGCAGAGCCACGCTTTGCTGATGGGTACCCAGGGAAATGCTCAGCTCCATGCAGGCTCTGATGGGGCCAGGGAGGAACATCAGGAAACAGCCCTCAGCCCCTCATAGGGCTCCAGGCCAGCACTGGGCTGGGTGTGGGGCACGAGGATAAAAAGCCCTACTCCAGCCACTGGTAGGGCTGGGCTGGTGGCTGCCAGGAGAGCTGGGGAGCAGAACCCAAGCCCAACCCAGGCACAGGTTATCTGCAGCTCCAATAACCAGAGTGAGCCTGATGTGACAGCCTGGAGCCTGCCAGGCCCTATTGCCACACGGCCAAGGGAAGGCGTGGGGTAGCTGGCAGCTTGCCTGGTTGGGCTCCCAGCAGCTCTTGGTACCACAACAGGGCTCTCCACGAGCAGCTGTCCCAGTTGGGCCGGGCTCCTTCCCACCATAGGTGGGTGGCATCCTCTCCGATGTGAGACAGAGATGGGCCGTGCTTTTGGGTCACACGTCATCATTGGTGCTGTCCCAGCTGAATTCTTACTTGCAGGGCTTGCACTCTATTAGGCTGAGCACAACCGTGCAGACCTCAGGCAGCTCACAGGGACCTGCACTGCTCCTAAATTGCCTCCAGTAATTCTGACTGCAAGGAACCATGGCTGCCCTGCAGCCAATAGGATATCCTGTGCTCCCCTCCACTCATGGACCCTGGAGCATCGCCCCTAAGTCCTCTCCAGCCCTCTTCCTCCTCAGCCCTTCTCCTTCCCAAGACACTGATGGGAATGATGCGTATGGATCCCCCAGGTCCATTCTGGATGAGGATGACCCCAAATGCAGATAGTTATTTGCTGATGGTAACAGATGGGGGGACGAGAGACCCCTAGGTCTCTACTGACACTGGGCACTGTTGGCAAAGTGAACCCCTGTTCCTGGAGGTCAGTGGTGTCAGTTCACCTGCTGACTCTGGGCTGAGAAGGAACCGGCAGCCGTTCCAGCTTGAACCCTCGGGGCAGCGGGGTCCGGCGGCTTTGGACAGGGCTGTCTCCAACCAACTCCGGGCCGCGGGACCCGTGGCTCTGCCAATGGAGGATACGGCGCAGACCCTGACCCCACTCTAACGCGGCGAGGTTGGAAAACAGCGGCAGAACGGGACCCGGCTCTCCCCGATCCGCCGCGCCGTCAGGCTCGGCTCCGGGACCCATTGAGGAGAGGGCGGTCCCGGTCCCGGTCCCGGTCCCGGCACACGTCCCGGCCCCGACCCCACTCACTGCCCGGCCGCTCCCTCCAGCGCGTCCCCTCCACTCCGCCGCCGCCGTCGATGCTCAGGAAGAATCGGGTGGCGGAGAAGAGCCGCCGGCAGCGCACGTCGCCTTCCAGATGCCCGTAGCTGCGGGGGGGCCGCCGGCCGCCCCAAACGGAGCTGTCCGGTCCCGGCCCCGCCAGCACGGCGAGCGCCCCAGCGAGGCAGGCGGCGAGAGCGGCGGGACCCCCGCGCCTCATGGCGGCGGCCGCCGGGAGGGCGGTGGGGCACAGCGAGTCGCTGCGCGGCTCCGGGCCATGGCCGCGGCCACCGGCGAGCGGCCCCGACGGCGCGGGCGGCAGCAGCGGCGGTGAATGGGCGGGGCGAGGCGGGGCAGAGGGGCGGGGTCTCTCATTCATAAATCCGTACGAGTTTGGGGGGGGGGACCCGACGGCTGTCCCTGCGTCCGCTTCGCTTTCGATCCAGTTCTGGGAGGCTTCCGAAGGATTTGGGGGCTCTCCGCCCTGCTGTCCTCATCCTCCGGTCCCGCTTCAGGGCTCGGTTTCCCTGTGGGTGCGCACAGCACCGCGGAGCAGCCCTCCCAGCACAGTCCCGAGGTCTGCTCCATACTCCCCGAGCAGCATCACGGGCTCAGAAACGCTCCGTGTGCGAACCGAGCCGGGCTCACCCCGTTCCGTGCCCGTCCCGCGCTGTGCCGTGCCCCCGCTCCGCTCCCGCCCCGTCAGTTCGCACCGCCCAGCCCGCGGCCGCCAGGGGGTGCGAGGCGGGGGAACGGGGGGGGGGAATGGGGTGCGGGGGGTGGGAAGAGGGAAAACGGCGCTGCCGCGGTGCGTTGTGGGAGTTGTAGTGCGGAATGGAGGTACTGCTCCCGTCAGGCTGCGCGCCGCGCCTGCGCAGTGAGGGCGGGCGGCGCGGCATGGCGGCGTAGTGGGGCAGCATGGCGCTGCTGAGGCTGCGGGCGGCGCTGCTGGGCCCGGCCCGGCTGAGGAGCGGCGGTGAGAGGCCGGGAATGGGGCTGGGGGAGAGGAGCGGGGCGGGTGGGTGCAGCCGAGGCAGATCGGGATTTGAGGATGCTGGTGGTGCTGCTTAGGGCCGGGTCGGGGCCTAGGCTGGTGGTACTGAAGGAGCCCCGCTGATCTGAGGGGGTCCGGCTGTGGTGTGGGGGTGATGGGAGCCTCCTCTCAACGTCCTGTTCTGTTGCAGGGATCCCATGGAGCGTCCTCAGGTGTTACACCTCGGCCAGCGCCAAGGAAAAGGCGAGGAGAAACGCCATCTGTGAGAGGACGGAGCTGCTGGAAGGTGAGCAGGGTTTCCTAGAAGGGCTGCAGGGCTCTCCTTCATTCGGTGTCCTGGGATTGGAGGGGGTTGGAAATGCTCGTGACCTGCTGAAGGATGTGAGGCAGAGTTGTTGGCCTCCCTGAGCAAGGCCTGTCCTGTCCCAAGGCCTTCAGAGAGCATTGAGCTGCTGTACAAATGCAAGTGGTCTTAAGGGGTTGTAGAAAAGTGGTTCCCATGCCCTAGGAGGGCCCTGCAGACTGACCCAGAGTGAGTTCTGGCTCGATGAAGGTATGAGCTGGTGGTTTTTCCCTTGCAGTGACATTATTCAGTTCCCCTGGATGCTGGAGCAAACCACAGTTGATAGGTGGTTCCCAGGAAGGTGTGGTCAGAGCAGCTGGTTGCTGAGTGCTGCTGGGATGGGTGGATTGGTTAAGCAGGGAGAAAGTCTTTGTGTGACCTTCTTCATCACCTCATTCCTGAGCACGTTTCTGCCAGAAGTGAAGTGCTGGGTAGGACCCAGACTTTTGCTGCGTCTCACATCTCTTCGTTTCTGTCCTGGCTGTGTTTCCTGGCAGTGCTGAAAGCTCGAGTGAAGCAACTCCAAACCAGTAACATCCCAGAGGTGACAATCAACAAAGTGGAACTGGCACCGCTGCAGAGCAACAGGCAGCAGGACCTGCTGCAGAAAGCAGTGGATGCAAACACAGCAGTGGAGCACGTGGTCCCCAGGCAGTCCAGCAGCTGGACAGAAAAGCTGAAGAAGGAAATGTACATCCGGCAGCTGAAGGTGGAGAAGAAGCTGTCTATTGCAGCCTCTCAGATGACTCTAGAGGGCCAGCCCAAGGTCAAAACAAAAGTCAAGGTGAAGACAAAGGTGAAAGCAAAGGCAAAGACAAAGATCAAAGCCAAGAACAGCCAGAAGAGTCCAAAGGCTACAGCGAGTACTTCCAGAAACCAGAGTGATGCTGGTCCCAGCAGTGCCAACACCTGCCATAAGCCCAGGGTGGAAGAAATGAAGCAAGATGTGAAAGCACAGAAGCTTCAACGTGTGCATGAGGATAGGAGCAGCCAGCGCAAGATCATGCAGCAGACCATCCAGTCTAATCTGGAGTGCTTCGTGTACTTACAGCAGCCAGAGGAGGCTGAGAAGTTCCTCCTGCTGTATCACAGCAACCCCATGAAAAGGAAGCTTTTGAATGTTGATGCATACAATGTGGTGATGCGTGGCTGGGCAAGAAAGGTATGGAGCTTTGGGGGCCTTCTGCTGCCCTTGTCTCGGTTGATCTTGGCCCTTTGGTGCCAGGCTTTCTGAGAGGCAAGGCTGGAGGTGTGCTGGCTGAAGTGGAAGAGCCCCACGCTTGTAGAATCAGTAGTTGCAGTATGATTTCTCTGTTTGTCATATTTACCTTCAGCAGTTTTTGCTGAGATGGACAGAGCTGGGCTGAGGCCACTGATCCCTGTGAGCTGGCTTTGAGGAGAGGAAAGGGGTGGGGTAGTATGGATGTGACTCAACCAGAGAAGGAGCAGAGGGCTGCGAAGCTGTGATTTGGTGCTGCTGGTGTCTGTTTCCACATCCTCCATCCCTTCTCATCCACAGGGCTGCTTGCACCGTGTCATCCATCTGCTATCCATGCTGGAGTCCATCAGCCTGCGGCCCAACCTGGACTCCTACGCAATACTGCTGGAGTGCATGACACAGAGCCAGTCATCCACCAAAGCCATCTGGAGGTAATGCACTTCTCTTCCCCCAGGCAGCCTCGTGCTCTGGGCAACATCTCTGCAGCTCCACTGTGCCACGAGGGCACGAACTGGGGACAGGAGGCACTGGCTCAGGGTAGGGAAAGCCTGCCTTGCTGTGTGCATGTCTGGGTGCTGTGGCATGGTTCTCACGGCCAGATTAAGGGGTTGGTTAGGGCTCTTTGAAATGTTTTCACCACCCCGGCTTAAGAGTTTGTCCAAGATCTTGTGGAGAAGGGAGATGTAGATGAAAACAGCTTGAATTCTGGACAAAGCTGTACCTGCTGCCAATGGGCTGCCAGCAGCCCCTCTCTAATCAGGTGCCCCTTGGTCCCGCACCCATTCTGGTGGGAATGTTTGTCCTGTTTGGCTCTCCATCAGTGTCCAGTAGGGTTAATTCCTCCATCCAGTCTGGTGGAGTCAGCATTTCCTGGCAGGATGAGCCAGACAGCAGATTTTTGTAGGCTCCCATTTCACTGTGTGACCAGGAGATTCAGATGGGTTTCACGGACCCAAACTGAAAGGCTGAAGGTAGCCAGTGAAATCCCAGCCTCTGAGTGAATGACTTTCAGGTCAGCTGATGTAGAAAAGACTTGCGTTGCTTTTCCTGCTTAGGTGTGTGAGCGTTGCATAAGTACAGCAGTAAACGTGTAGGATTGTCAGGAGGCAAATATTTATAGCACATCTGCAGAGATTTGCCAGCTCCAAGCCTCATCAGAGTGTGTGCATTTTCACACAACTCCTTCTGTTTGCTGGTGCTGTGTCTGTGAGTGCTCTCCCAATTTGAAGTCAGGATGGGCCAGTCTGCCCATGGCAGCAGTTGTTCACTGCCCCTTTGTCCAGGCTGTGACCATTACCTTGCATTCCCTTGTGCTGGACCAGGCTAGTGGGGATAGGAGGAGCATTTAAGGACGGAGGAGGCAACAAGGCAGCACCTTTTTTTTTTCCCCTCACAAAGGCAGTAGAGATCAGCCTCCTCATCCATGTGTGAAGGTGAAAGCTGCCTGTTCAGCAGCACTGTGGGCTGGAGGAGGTGGATGACTGACGGCTGTAACCTGAGGCTGGTGACCTTGCCAAGGACAGGCTGTACTCTGGAGGCAGCTCCCACCCCAGCAGCTCCTGCAGCCTGGAGATCTGTTTGCTGGTGTCTGGCTGCATGTGGCAGGCAGGGAGAGCTGGTGTGCTGCAGGTTTCCCATTGCTGCAGCACTCTCCCTCCTATCTGGTTCTGGGCAGGCATCAGCTCAATGAGGTTCAAGTTGCTACAAGACTTGTCCTGTGCTGTGTCTCATGTGGGCCCAAGTGACTTTGTTTAGGGCAAAAGTGAGGTAGGAGCAGCCTGATACAGACAAGGCCCTTGGATCCTGAGGAGGGAGCATCAACATGCTTTCTCCACGCTTAGTCTTCTGTTTGTAAACTACTCCTTGCCTCATTGTATGCTGGTTCCTGTCCATGTGCACACAATCCTGTCTCATCTGCCTCCCCTCAGGTGTGTGCAACACCTGAAGAAAGATGGCTTCCATGTGGATGAGCTCTTCCAAAAATGCCTTTTTGAGGGAGATGAGAAGGAGAAGGTGCTGAAGGCCATCAGGATTATCCAGCCTGACTACCAGCTGCCTCCTCCACCCAAACCTGAGATCTGCAAGGCTGCTCTGCTCAAGAACTTCTACTCTGAGGTAAGCCACTGAACTCACAGATATTTCTGCTGCGTGGGGAGTTGTTGCAGCTGGCCAGATGTATTCACAGATGTCTTCAGGATGCATTCAGGTCCAGCACAGGACTGTAATAGCTTCCTTTCCTCTGGCTTTTGGTACTTACTGCCTCACTCTTCTTGCAGAAGAAGATGGTGTCGTATCCCAAGCTGGATTTCTCTGTGCAGGAGCTGCGGGAGCGCTTCCAGCAGCAGCTGGAGATGGAGCTGAACAGCACCATAACCATCGAGTCAGTGGAGTCAACCAAACCTCTGACTCCACAAGCCATCAAAGCAGTAAATATCAGGGTGTCTGAAGAGGTGGAGGGCACTTCAGTCTGCAGGGTTTCTGTGGGGAAGACCTGCAGGGTTGTACCCTTAAAGTGGGAGGGTTTCCTGGTGATGCACTCACCACAGTGTGACTGTTTTGCTTCCATTTCTTGTGCAGCGCCAGCAGTTGGCCGGCCTTCGTTCTCAGTGGCGTGATGCCATCCTCCAGGCCCTGCAGAAGTCAAAGCACAGCATGTCCCAGGTCAAGGCAACGTCAGGGCACAGCGTTCTCTACCCCTACCTGTGTCTGCTGCCTGATGAGG